CCATTGTGTTATTGCAAGGCTGTACAGTTTTAATGGATGTTCACTGTATGTGAAACCTCAGCACCCTGTCCTCACAGTGACTTCTTCCTTATCAGATTGTATATGCTTACTTGTTTCTATCTGGGACTGCTGCATTCTTGTTTGGTTTCTGCATGTGGTAATATCTCATGGGTAGTACTTGCAGTGCAGGGGAGAGGCTGGATCTTGTGCTGGTTTAAACTGAGCTGCAGCCATCTGTCTCTGCTCTTGTTTACTGATGCTCTTTAGATGACTGGGGAGCCTCCTGGCACTTGCAGTTTTTGCAGAGGGAAACAAAAGGAGTAAAATAACAAAGGTTGCTAAAGCCTGGGGATAAATTCAGCTTTCAGAAAGGCAATAGATAATTTTTATTTTAAATAATTTAGCTGGGATGCAGTGGTTAAAAAAAAAAAAAAAAAAAGGGACTGCTGAAAAGTTGGAACAGTTATAATTCCTGGTTGTGCTGGAAAGCTTTGTGTCTTGTTCCTAAGGATGACCACACAATTGTAGGCAAGGACAGAATGTAACTGATCCACCTTCTGCTTTCCTCAGCATAGGGGGTAACATGGCAGGCTTAGCAGGAACCTTCACCAGATGGCTAGTCATTACTGTCTTGCACATTAGCTGGTGGCAACTTTTTACTTAACCAAAAAGGCTTATGCCTTCAGGAGGACTGCGATTCTGATTAACTCCTACTGAGCATCATTTTATATTAATTTTATTTCTTTCCTGATTAGGAAGAATTTTGATCTGAAACCAATTGGCAGAATCTCTTTTTCCTAAAACAAACAAAAGGCATGAGAGATCCCTGTGTGATTAGCTGGCTGGCTACCATTCCCAACTATCCCTCTCTGATGCAGACTGTTCTCCATCACCACGTGACATGAAAGCAGTTCACAGATCCAGAGAGCTTTTTCTGCACCTGTGGTTCAGTCCCTGGTTCTGCCAGGCTTCCTTGAAGTTTTGCCTGAGCAGAGAGTGCAAGTTGGAATCACAGCAGGTTCTGGCGAGCCTTAATGCTAATTAGCATCAAGTGGGGTTTGTTCAGTAGTATTTGGCGTCTCTGTGCGTTCAGATTTTTGTATGCTTGCTGGCTTTGCTTTTCATGACTCTGGCCATAATAATGCTGAGTGTGGTGTGGACACGTGTGATGTGAACTTTCTGTCTGGATCTGCTGTCCTAGTGCATCTTGAGCTTGGCCAGTGGACAAGTGATAATTGTTGAGTGATAATTTCCTACTTTTGTGTTTAAAAAAAAGGGCTAGAAGGGGGTCACCAAACTCCCAAGTGAAAGGGATCCAAGCCCAAGTGTGAGTCTGGGTTCCTGGAGTTGGGTTATCAAAAGACTTAAATCAGACCAAGGTAGTAGGCAGAATTAGAGCTTCAGGGTTGAGATTTGGTAATAGCTGTACTTTCTATTAAATGTTCTTAATGGAGCCTGGGCAGAGATATTTATGTTAGGATTAATTATGTATCACTAATTTCCTGTAGTGGGAATAGAAAAAAAATCATGTCTTAACTCTATGTTAAGCTTGAATATTTGTACTATGATTATGGAGGAAGAACCAGATTTTTTAAATTCTGTCTACTGTTCTGTCAAGGTTAGCTGCAGAGACAGACACAAGAGAATCCACCTGTTGTGCATTTCTGCTTATAATCAAGGGGAGAGTTGCCTGGTGCCGTGACACAGCGATGAGGCCTCACAATGGCCTCACTTGGGTCAGTTTTTTAGCTAGTACCAGTTTGTTAATTGAGGAGCACACTGGAATTGTTGCTTCAAAAAATCAGTGCCTGCTCTCTCATACCTCTGTGTGTGAAATGATTTATGTGTCTGCATAACAACATGGAAACTATCTGGAGTTCACACAGGTAATGTTTACCTGCACAGCTGCTTCCTTAAGGTGCCCCAGCAGTGACATCTGTTTGCTTGAGAGGAGTTGATAGTGCTCTCCAGTGTTCTGACAGGCTCTCTCCAGAAAGCTACCAACAGCCATAGCACTCAGTACAAGGTCAGTCTGGGGATATGTGTAATTTAATTCCATTGTGAGTAAAGTTTTACTTATTTTAGTCTCTACTAAGTGTGGTAGTGCTGAATGTCCCTTTCTGAAGAGCATGGAGCGTTCTCTA